CACTCGCCCGGGGGGGGGTATCGACCCCAAGTGGCCCATGATTCGCCTGTCGTCGACCGTCGTCGATCCTTGATGTTCGCAATCTGTTCGTCGAGTCTGGTTCCGATGAACCCGTCGCGGGGGCGCTCTTGCGACGACGATCTGAGTGAAAGACGCCCGAACCCCCCCACTCCCCAGCAGGGGCGGGCGGTGGTCTAGGGCGTTTCCTCTTCGAACCTCTCATTCCCCTTCGGGGGGGGGGTCGCTCTTCCCCGCGCCCGCCCCCCCCTCCCCCGCGCCTCGGCGGCTCGTTCCGCGAGGGAGCGGGCGCCCGAGATGGCCCAAGATGGCTTCGAGAGGGCCCGAGAACTCACGCAAGGGCCTCCCACGCGCTCGGGACAGCGCCAGCACGCTCGAGATGGCCCCCGCTGCGCTCCAGAACACCCCGAGATCTCTCCAAGATGCGCCCAAATGGCCACGGAACGCACCACAAACAGTACCGCCGACGTCTGCCTTCTCGCCGCCTCGATGCCGATTGGCCTTCGTGACCTCGGATCGGCTCCCAAGATGGCCCGAGAGGGCTCCGCGAGAAGCCCAAGACGGGCCCGGGGGCGCCGCGGGCGCGCCCGAAGGGAGAAGGGGCCAGGAAGCGACGAGGGGAAACAACGGTGACGGCAGACATGGCAGCGAAGCGCGGGCAGACGAGACGGTGGCAGACACTGTTTCGTCCTCCCGCGACTCCCATGCAGAACCGCAGGCGCGGCGCGCCGCTAAGGCGGTCGCCCCCGCGAGGCGCGCTGCAGCGGGGAGGCTCCCTGCTCGCGTGCGCCTGCGATGCCGGCCGGCGCGCGGTGCCGTCTGGCGAGCACCGTGTCCGGGGGACGGGAAGGAAGGGACTGCGCCCCGAGGCTCTCGGAGGGTCAGCTTTTGCCGCGCCGTCGAGGCCCAGGAGACGTCTGACGTCTGGAGGCAGCGCCCAGACGAAGCCTGGCGGCCAAGCAAACGGCAGACGCCGCGCGTTGACCATGCGTCGCTGAGTAACAACACGTAGGTCCACGTCACGAAAGGATCGGCAGGTCTGGTATTTCACGCACCTGCCCCTGGCGGAACGACCGCTCGGCAGGCCGGGCAGGCCTATGGGTACGAGGCAGCGTGGCGACGTTCGCGCGCAGGGAGACGGGGAAAAGGGGGAGGGAGGGGAGGAGGGAGCAGGGGAGGAAGTAGGAGGGACGAGGGGATGTGAGAAAAGTGAGAGGCGAGGGAGGAGCGGGAGGAGGAAGGATGAGCAAGAGCAGCAGGGACACGGGCGAGGAGAGTGAGGGTGAGACAGGCGGGAGAGGAAGGAGTATGTAATGGGTGCCCGCAGGTTGGGCGGGCTCCTCCTCCTCCTCCACCTCTTCCTCTTCCTCCACCTCCTCCTCCTCCTCCTTTTCCTCCTTTTCCTCCTCCTCCTCCTCCTTTTCCTCCTCCTCTGTACTGGGTGGCGCTGACGCATGCGAACGTCGCCTCTGGAGCCTTCGGTGGAGCTCCCTATGGGAGCACGCACCGCTTGTTTGGGTGCTGCGGACGCAAGGGAACGTCGCATCTGGAGTATTCGGTGGGTGCCACGAAGCGCTACATTGGGTGTGCCGGCTGCTTGGTATGCGGAGGCCAGAGGCCTGGATGGGAGGAGGAAGGGGGGGCAGCGGGAGGAGGAGGAGGAGGAGGAGGAGGAGGAGGAGGAGGAGGAGGAGGAGGTGGGACGCGGGGGGCTGTCTCTTCAAAGCGATGACCCAACTCCGCAGGAGAGTTGGGAACAACAACGAAACACAGCTTGGCGAAGGACCCAACAATTTGCAGGTGCGAGCGCCGTCGCTGTGTCGCCTTCGGTGGATCTCCCGATAGGGCCACGAAGCGTGTTAAGGGTGTGCAGAAATGGGGCGGAGCGGCGATGCGGGAGCTGCCACTGACGCGCGCGCACACGTCACCTGCAAAAACCGAGATCCGAAATGGAACCGGCTGAAACGGAGCCGCCCTCTGGGAACCGCCTCAGACAGCTCCGAGACCGGGAGCGTATTGAACCGAACCGACTTCCCCCGAACCGAAACGAACCGGACCGAACCGGGGACACGGTGTATAAAACCCTTATTCCCAACCCTCCTGCGTTGGGTTCTCGTTTTGAATAGAGCACTGCTCGCGCGAACCTTCCTTCCCGTCCCTCTCTTCCCCCCTCCCTTTTACCTCGCTCGTCGCTGCGTTTCGAGGGCTGCTAGGGGCTGCGATCTGTGAAACTGTCGCCACTTTCGAGGGCTGCTGGGGGGCCCAGCGCAGTTGGTACCCACGGCGGATTCAAATGGGACCTCGCCATCCCTGAACGGCTGCGATCTGTGAAACTGTCGCCGCATTCGAAGCCTGCAGGGGAGCCCAGCGCAGTGGGCACCCACGGCGGATTCAAATGGGACCTCGCCATCCCTGGGGGGCTGCGATCTGTGAAACTGTCGCCACTTTCGAGGGCCGCTGGGGGGCCCAGCGCAGTGGGTACCCACGGCGGATTCAAATGGGACCTCGCCATCCCTGGGGGGCTGCGATCTGTGAAACTGTCGCCACTTTCGAGGGCCGCTGAGGGGCCCAGCACAATGGGTACCCACCGCAGACTCAAATGGGACCTCGCCATCCCTGGGGGGCTGCGATCTGTGAAATTGTCGCCACTTTCGGGGCCTGCTGGGGGGCCCAGCGCAGTGGGCACCCACGGCGGATTCAAATTAGACCTCGCCATCCTTGGGGGGCTGCGATCTGTGAAACTGTCGCCACTTTCGAGGCCTGCTGGGGGGCCCAGCACAGTGGGTACCCACGGCGGATTCAAATGTGATCTCGCAATCCCTGGGGGGCTGCGATCTGTGAAACTGTCGCCATTTTTGAGGGCTGCTGGGAGGCCCAGCACAGTGGGTACCCACGGCGGATTCAAATGGGACCTCGCCATCCTTGGGGGGCTGCGATCTGTGAAACTGTCGCCACTTTCGAGGGCTGCTGGGGGGCCCAGCACAGTGGGCACCCACGGCGGATTCAAATGGGACCTCGCCATCCCTTGGGAGCTGCGATCTGTGAAACTGTCGCCACTTTCTTACCTCGCTCGTCGCTGCGTTTCGAAGGTTGCTGGGGGCTGCGATTTGTGAAACTGTCGCCACTTTCGAGGGCTGCTGAGGGGCCCAGCACACTGGGTACCCACCGCAGACTCAAATGGGACCTCGCCATCCCTGGTGGGCTGCGATCTGCGAAACTGTCGCCACTTTCGAGGCCTGCTGGGGGGCCCAGCGCAGTGGGCACCCACGGCGGATTCAAATGGGACCTCGCCATCCTTGGGGGGCTGCGATCTGTGAAACTGTCGCCACTTTCGAGGGTTGCTGGGGGGCCCAGCGCAGTGGGTACTCACCGCACACTCAAATGGGACCTCGCCATCCCTGGGGGGCTGCGATCTGTGAAACTGTCGCCACTTTCGAGGGCTGCTGGGGGGCCCAGCACAGTGGGTACTCACCGCAGACTCACACTAGACCTCGCCATCCCTGGGGGCCTGCGATCTGTGAAACTGTCGCCACTTTCGAGGGCTGCTGAAGGGGCCCAGCACAGTGGGTACGCACCGCAGACTCAGACTAGACCTCGCCATCCCTGGGGGCCTGCGATCTGTGAAACTGTCGCCACTTTCGAGGGCTGCTGAGGGGCACAACACAGTGGGTTTCCCGCACGTCTTTCTCCTGCTCCTCGTTCCCGACTCCCCATGTCCTCTTTGAGCCTGTAGTTGTCGCCCCTCGTTCTTGTATGGTTCTCCTGCGCATCATGCCATTGGCGCGTGTCCCAAGTAGCTTACATATCAAACAACGGGTCCTGCAATTTGATTGTCCGTGCAAGTTTCGGCCAACTCCTCGTTCCCCATGATACAAATGGGTTGGGTACGTCACAGGGTAATGGGGCCACGAGAGGAGGAGGAGGAGGAGGAGGAGGAGGAGGAGGAGGAGGAGGAGGAGGAGGAGGAGGCGCTGTATAACGAAGAGTGGAACGGGTGTGCCGAAATCGGGCAGGGCCGACGTGCGGGCGCCGTCGCTGGGGGGCGGCCGCACGTGGCGCCCACACTCTCAGAGGGCCCTCTTCGCCGGGGCTCCCCAGGGGGAGCCACGAAAAACGCGCGCGGGGCGTGCCGGAATGGGTGGGGCGGCCGCACGTGGTGCACCCCCGCTGGGGCCTCAGGCGGAGCTCCGTGAAGGGGGCCACCCAGAGATCCAACGTATTGAAGAAATCGAGACGGAGTTTTGTCGCAATTTCCGGCCTCGAGGGGCCGTCGCCGGGCCCCGGGACCGTGAAAAAATGTCTCAGGATGAAAAACCGGTCCTGGGGAATGGGTCGAGACTTCTGGGGACCCCGCATTGAAAAAATCACGACATCGGATCTCTGGTCACGAAACGTGTGCGGGGGGTGCCGGAATGGGTGGGGCGGCCGCAGGTGGTACACCCCCGCTGGGGCCTTAGGTGGAGCTCCCCAGGGGGCCACGAAACGTGTGCGGTGTGGTGTGGTGTGTGTGTGTGTGTGTGTGCCGAAGTGGGTGGGGCGGTTGCATGTGGTACACCCCCTGGGGGTCTTAGGCGAAGCTCCGTAGGGGCCACGAAACGTGTGCGGGATTTGCCGAAATGGGTGGGGCGGCCGCATGTGGTACCCCCCCTGGGGTCTGAGGTGGAGCTCCCCAGGGGGCCACGAAACGTGATAGGGGCGTGCCGACATGGCTGGAGCGGCAGCATGTGGTACAACCCCCGGGGGGCCTTAGGTGAAGCTCCCTAGGTGGCCATGGAACGCGTGAGGGGTGTGCCGAAGCAGGAGCACGCGGAAGGCAGAGCCAGGGGTGGGAGGAGACAGGAGCAGGAGGGGGAAGGAGTGAGTGAGATGCGCGGCGATGCCTCGCCAAAACGCAGGTCGACAACCACAGGATGGCTGGGAAAAACACGCTCCATGGGCACCACCACGAGGCCCCCGCGGTGTCGGGCGCGGGAGGCGAGAGCCCGGCCGAGGGGCTCGTAGGTGGAGGCGGCGAGCTTGAGCGCGGCGTCGAAGCCGGCGCACACGACGGCCTCGCGACGCGGGGGAGAGAGGCCCGCGGCCTTCGCCTCGGCCTCGGGCCCGACGAACTCCCACCGCATCTCACTCCCTGAGACCCCTGGCGTCGGATTCTTGTTCACACGTGCGTCTCCGCAGACGTTCGGGCCCTGGGACCCTCACGGGTCGATCCAGCGAAACATGGCGCAGGACGATGAGGTTCAGGATTCGGGGCGCAACTGATGGGCCTGTTTTTCACCACCACCACCACCATAAGTTGGAGGGGAAGGAGGTCCTCCTCCTCCTCCTCCTCCGCCTCCTCCTCCTCCTCCTCCTCCTCCTCCTCCTCCTCCTCCTCCCCCCTCCAACTCATGGTGGGGGTGGTGGTGGTGGTGGAAAACAAGCCCATCAGCAACTTGTCGCGATGTTGCTCTTTTGTTCGCAGCGTCGGGAAACTGCCAGGCAGCAAGGAGCAGCAGCGGCGCGGGAGCTGACGTGATCGCATAGCAGGGTCTTCTTGCCGGGTTAGACTGTCCAGCAAACACTACTTGGGAACCATGCGCCCGCATTCGGGTAAGTTCACGTCTCGTGTCCTGCCTCACCAATCGGAACAAAAAACACTGATCGACCAACTTCGCGATGGAACTTAAGAAACGTCACGGGCATCACAACTGCTTGGACGAACCACGTAGACGCATCCAATCATACTGGGGCAAGCCGAAGCGGGCCCTACGCTACACGACAACAATAGCGATCGCACGGACGCACATGTCAGTGATACCGGCCGCGGTAAAAAGAAAGGCTTCCTTCAGCTTGGATGTTTACCAATTTGGCCGCTATGGCTTCTACCAGAATTAAAACATCCAGGTCCACTCTGCACGATTGCAGACATTTGTGCACACGCAACGTACCCGCATGTTTCAAATCCGCCATTGCGCTGCTATGCTGTGCGCAAATTGGCGCGTCCTGAAGTTCCTACGCTCTTTGGCAATCCAGGGGCCTCGTTCCGAGGATCGTCCCAGGGAGATCTGAAGGGTTTCTCGGGGAATCTTGAAAGACATGGAGGCTGGCCCGAAAGGTCAAGACGATTCGAATTCTTGGAATCTTTGTCTAGACTCAGGGCCCCAAGATAGTAACGAATAAGGCTCAATCGGGAGAACACGAACTGGCGTTTGTGGGCCTCCGCACGTCATAATCCCACCAGCCCTCTGGGCGTAGGTGGTTTGGGGTGTTTCCTCTTCCGTTCCCTTCTTCCCCTTCGGGGAGGGGTTCACCCCTCCCCCTACCCCCTCCCCTGGACCTGGACGGGGCGTTTCGCGGGCCGCTGGAGCGTTCAAACAGCCTGGAGCGTTCGCTGGCTCCCCAGGGTGCCCCAAGAGGGCCCCAAGAGATGGCCCGGAGACGCCAAGGGGCCCCCAAGAGGCCCCGAGGAGGCCCCCAAGAGACTCTCAGAGGGCCCCAGGAGGCCCCCCACAGGCACCCAAGACGCTCCGAAAGGCATCGACAACAATGCCAAATTCATTGATTGTACTAAGGTTTTGGCCACATGTTGGCCTCCTAGGGGGGGCACTTCTTAAGATGAGTCCAAGAAAAAACCCATGATGACCTCCAGAATGGCTCAAGACATCCCAGGATGCCTCAAGATGGTTCTCACGATGCTTCAAAGAGACCGCACGAAGACGGTTCCAAGTCGCCAAAGAGCTCCCCAAGGAGACCCCGAAGAGGCCCACATCCTTCCAAAACCTTGGGGGCATCAATGTTTTTGGCGTTATCGCCTTTTCGTTTCCGATGAACATCCGAGGCCTCAAGATGGCTCCAGGATGACCCAAGAGGGCTCCGAGAGCGCTCCCAAGGCTACAAAGAGCGCTTCAAGAGGGCCCCGAGAGGCGCCCCGCCAGGAGGCCCCAACAGGCGCCCAAGAGGCCTCCAAAAGACTCCCAAGAGACCCCCAAGAGGCACCAAGAAGCTTTCCAAGGCACCCAAGACGCTCTAAGAGGCGTCTGGGACCGCCAAGAGGCCCCCAAAACACTCCCAGAGGCCTCCACTGGGGGACCCTTCCTCTGTGTGCTGCCCACTTCCCTTATCGAGGCAATTCCTCTGGGCATCGTTTCTGGGTGGGGGGCTACTTCTTTGATCGCAAGCGCACCAGAGACGCCGGACGCCGTCCAAAGGCAGGTGGGGCTACTTTTTTGTCCGCGAGCGACACGGCGCAACCGCGCGCCGTCAAAGAGCGAAGCAACAGCGCCACGATCTAAATTAGGCACTGAGCGCGCAGGAGCGAATCCATACGCTGCGACTCAGTAGGCGAAGAGGACGCTGAGGATCAGGTCCGACAAACAAACAGGTGGGGTTACGCGAAGCGTCTAGAATTAGGTTCGGCGACTCCGAAGGGTGCGGCTTTCAAAGGGTGTGGTTTGCCGCGCGCACTCTGGGGTGCGGGCGAAGACCTCGACGGAGACCTCCGCCGCGCCCTGAGGGGGACCGGCTCTTCCTCCTGAGTCGTCTTGTGGACGGTCCCCGAGGGCACGGTAGGGTTAGGTCGGGCCTGTTCCCCATACAAGCCGATTTTGGACGAAAAAGTTAAAATAGTCCACACATACTTCAAAAATCTTCAAAGGTGAAAAAATCGTCCCCATATTATTTTTCAACTATCTTTGAATATTCCCTCTGTAGAGGGACAGGCCCGACTGAACGGTAGGGCCCCTGGAGGCCAAACGATTCGAACAGCCTCGCATCCGGATTTTTTGCGACGCGATGGGGATTGGGTTCGGTGGCGAGCCCGGGGAGGAAGAGAGGAGGGGCGCAGAAGGCCTCCGCCTCCGCCTCCGCCTCCGCCTCCGCCTCCGCCTCCGCCTCCGCCTCCGCCTCCGCCTCCGCCTCCTCCTCCTCCTCCTCCTCCTCCTCCTCCTCCTCCTCCTCCTCCTCCTCCCTGCTCGCTTCCCCCCCTCGCTCGCCGCCGAGGCTGGATCTCCCGAGGCTTTCGCGGGCACGGGCAGCTCGCCGGCCGCGGCCCCTCCCCCCGAGGGGGCCGGAAGGGAGACAGCAGCAGCAGCGTCGCGCCCGGTCGGACGGCCCTCCTCCTCCATTAGGGCGCAAACAAACCTACCTCGCTTTTGACCACCCTCGCTTCCAAGAGATACCAAGCGACGCCAAACTACGGCCTGCGCTGGTCAGGCCGCTTGACTAGGAGGCGCGTGGTACGACTTGGTTCTGCCTGGAAGCGAAAGCGGGGCAGGTAATTCACGCTCTGACCCATGGTTGTGGAGGGCGATCAATGGAGAGGAAGCATGTTGCCAAACAGCTTCGAGATGTCTAACACGTGTGCTAAACATGTTTTGAACATGTGAAACACATGTTTTTAACAAATGCTTAGAGCATGCTTCCGACATGTTGAAATACTCTTCAAATTCAAGGAACGGACTGTTTGGGTGTCCATTGTCGTGGCATCCACAACCCCATGGGGCGGGCTGCTGCCGACGAGGCACCTGCCCGTGGCCCCAAGCGCGAACTGGTGCAGTCGGACCTGGGACAGAAACGCACCCTCAGAGAGTATGAGGACCCTCCGCCGGCCAGATTGAGGAGAGGAGCATCCGTGGGTGCCCTCCCCAGGAGGCGCAGGAGCATCCAACAAGCACGAAGAACCGAAGGGTGCCCTCCCCGAACCGACCTCGATCTTATTCCTGGGTCCGGCCTCGCTGCCGGCGAACTACCTGCCCGCTGCGCAAAGCGCGAGCAAGTAACCAGCATCCTGGGAAAGCGACGCGCCCATCACGGGAGACCCGATGTCCCTCCCGAAGGAAGGCGTGGCAGGGCAATCCCGAACTTACCAGGGTCTTAGCCCTGCGCCGCTTGCCCTCGCAGGAGACCAGGCTGCTCGGAGACCCACCCCGCCGTCCCAGATCAGCCTGATCGTGTGCAGAAGGTGCTCTTCCCCTCCACCCATCCCGCCACTCCTCCATTCCGATTATCATTCCCATCTTCCAGCCTCCATCAGCACAAGAAAAAGCGGCATGAGCATAAACTGTCTGTCGGAGGTCCGCGCGGTCTTCTTGGCGCGACGCTGGGCACCTTTGGCGGCACTCGAGCGCCAGGGAGGGGGTCCGGCGCCGATCCAAGAAATCCGCGCGGACCTCCAAACCTTGTGCTTGATTCTGTCGCTTTTGTCACTCGACCCATCCATCCGCCCTCCGTGCACGTCCGTCGGAAGAAGTAGGTGGAAACATGAAGTAGGAAGGCGGATTAAGTTGATCGGGTCAAGGCCCCCCCAAGAAAAAAACAAAACACAGCAAGAGCATGTCGATTCTTGAAGTAGGAAGGCGCCTGAAGTAGATTGGAATCTGGGAATCCCCAAAAACGCCTTGTTTCAACGACGGGCGTGTTTTGAATTTCCCGAGCATCGCTTCGCCGATCCCAACCCCCACTGGCGAGGACCGGACCCTGGAGGCGGCCGGGGAGCTCTGCACCGGATGGGACCCGCGAGAAAATCGGTGGAGGGGGGATGAGGCCAACTCGGCTCAAAATCGGTCGCTGGACCCCTCCTGGGGTCGATTTGGGCAGTGACCGACCGTCCCGGCATTCCTGTAGTCCTACCACGACGTGTTCTTAGAACCCACAGATGTCCCAAGAACAAAAACAATGCTCTTAGAACATAAACCCGATGTGGTAAAACAATGCAGTCCCAACCAGAAATGTTCTAAGAACATTTTGTGGGAGCCATAAAAGGTTCTAAAAACATTGTGTGGTAGGACTATGGGCACGCCAGGACGCTTCGCCACTGCCTGATCTATCCAAGGCAATTTTTCACCCCAAATCCGTTTCTGACGTTCCCAGTGCCCGAAAACGGCCGCAGGAGACCGAAAATGGCGATTCGCGAGGAGGCCTTCCAGAGAGGCAAGAAATTCAACATGTTTCTAGTCGGGCGCGCGCGCGCGCGTGGCGACCGCTGGGGGTCCCCCGGCGAAAAATACCCCGGCAGATTCCCCGCAGGTCTGGGTAAAACACACAGACACGATTAATCGTCGACTCCCCAGAAAATATTGGAAAATATGGGAAGTGGTGGGGAAGACAAAAACACAGAAAATATACGAAAATATTGGGAATCTGTTTATTTGTGTATTTATTTGTGTGTCCCAGGGCCCCTTCAGTCACGGATGCCGGAACTCGTGGGCGCGGCCCTGGGGTCCCTGGAGCGCCTTAAGGAGGCGCCCCAAGGAGGCGCCCACTGGGGGCAGGCCCCGCGGCCTCGGGCCAAGAGCGTTCCAGGATAGCCCAAGTTGGCCTCAAGACGGCCCAGGAGGCGCCCTAGACGCCCACAAGGAAGGGCTCCAAGACGACCCCAAGCAGGCCCGAAGAGGTAAACATCATGGATTTTCCTTGGTTTGAAACAGATTTTGGCGCTACCGCCTCTTCAAGCTTCCGACCGCCCAGAACGGCCCAAGGGGCCTCCAAGATCGCCCCAAGTCAGCCCAAGAGCTTTCCAGGATGGCCCCAAGACGGTGCCCCAAGACGACCCAAGAGGCCTCCCGAGAGGGCTCCAGAGGCACTCATGGGGGCCCCAATCGGGGGAACCCAGACAGACATATCGAGCCTTCCCCGGAAGTTGGCCCCCGAGACCGCCAGCAGGGCCACAAGACGCCCTCAAGAGGCCCCAGGAAGCCCAAAAGGATGCCCCACGGGGCCCCCAAGAGGCCCCAGGAGGTCCCTCAAATGCTACCAAGAGGCGTCCCAAGAGACCCCAAGAAGCCTTCCAAAGAGGTGTTTTGTCCGCAGTCCAGCTTGGTACCCAGTGCCCCAATCAGCCGTCGAGAGGCTTCCTCCTCCTGCTCCTGCTCCTGCTCCTCCTCCTGCACGATGGAGTCCTATCGTCCTTCTCGTCCGCCGCGGGCACACCGACATACAGCAGCAGTCTTGCAGCATGGGCCGGGGGAGGGAGCGACACAATTCCAGTCGGCGGGCCTTGGACCCCGAGCCGCCTCCAAGGTCGGCGGGTGGGGCCGAGATACCATGGTCCCGTGGGGATTGGGATCGCTTGGACTTGGCGGCGCGCAGAGGGGGGTATGGGGGAGGGGGGAAGGCTTCTTAGAAGGAGGCTGCCTCTTAGAGGGCGCCGGCCTCACATTCGTAGACAAGGTCCGCGCCTTCTAAGAAGCAGGGGTGCTTCTAAGAGGCCTTCCCCCCTCCCCATACCCCCCTGTGCGCGCCGCCAATGGACGATGATGATCCCTCGCCCTCCGCTGGGGTAGGCCTGCGCCTGGCTGATGCACTCGTCGAAGCAGCCGCACGCGGCGAGAGCCTGCGAGCGAGCACCGCCCGCGCTCCCCCCCCCCCACCGCTCCTGACGGGCAGCGGTAAGGGGGACCAGCTCGATCCTCGATCCAGTTTCTCTCGCTTCCCCCTCCGTCCTCCCTCCTCCCCCATTTACCCTCCACCCCCGTCAATCACCGCCCACCCCTTGCACCCCCTGTACCCTCCCCCATGTTGGGGTGCGCTCCGACCAGACTTCTGGGGGGAATCCAGCCGCCGCGACGGGAACCATCTGGGCTTAACAGAAAAATGCCCCGACAGCTCGAGCCTCCAACTTCGATCCTCGAGGCTAACCCCTCACTCGCCTCCCCCTTCCCCCGAGCCCCCTTTATTATTCCCTCGCCCTTCCCTTCCATGAGGGGGCAACGAACGGTATAACGTAATAAAATTGGATCGCCGCCGGGGGCGCCTGCCCCGCCCGAGGCAGCTGGAACGTTTATACACCGACGTGCCACCGTAGAGGTATAAACTGTTTAACCGCCGTAGGCTTAGGTCGGGCATGTTCTCCTAGAGCCTGTCTTTGTATTATCCGCGAAGGGCGCGAGGGGATTGAGAAGGAAAAGAAGGAGCAGCAGCAGAAGCACGAGCAGGAAGAACAGAGAAACAACCTGTAGCCAATTTGACTCAAGCCAATTTGGCTCTTCCCACACGGGCCCAGGATGGTCCCACCAAGCCTGTCCAGAGAACTCGGTAGAACCAGGCTACATGCAAGTCAACGCTGCGTTGGCACAGTGGTGGGACTTGCCGCAGGCAGCTGGATATGCCGATGCCCTGGAGAACTGCATGCTGCATGCCACCGTCACTTCATCTCCTGGGAAGCCCTTGAGGTTCCCTTGAAACCCTTGAAGATTCCTTGAGACACGTGGGGAGAGCAGCGTGACGTGATCGGGTGGGGTGGGGAAGGGCGGGGGCGATCACGAGCGTTATCGTCCAGACTATAAAACAAAACTCCAACAGGCGGATTTTGAACGAAACAAATTAAATTATCCACAAGTGCTCAAACAATAAAAAAAGTCGTTCCTTACCAGAAGGAATAACAGCAAAACGCGTCCCAGACTTTTTTTTAATATTGTGTTCAACATTCCTCCTGTAAAAGGACGTGCCCGACTTAACCCTAGGCAGGTGCCCCCTTTTTGATCGATGGCCTCCAAGATGGCACCACGAGTTCCTCCTGGGACCCCAAAAAGGCCCCACGAGAGCCCCAAGAGGGCCCAAAGAGCCATTGAAAAAAACCATCAAGAGGACCCCAATACCACTAAGAAAAAAAAACCCAAGAGGGCCCCCGAAGGGCCCATGCAGAACCGCAAGAGGACCCCAAGAGGGCATCAATAAACTCCCCCGATGGATACCCCAGTCATCGTCCTCCCCCTCCTCGTTCTCGTCCTCGCCCACGTTATCTTCATCTCCTCCTCCTCCCCCTCATCCTCGTCATCCTTCTCGTCGTCGAGTTATTATTCGTGTTACTCCTCGTTCTCGTTTTCGAACTATTCCTCGCCGTCCTCGTCCTTGTCCTCCTGTCCCCCTTTTTCCTTCTTCTCCTCCTGTCGCATCTCCTCCTCCTCCTCCTCCTCCTCCTCCTCGTCCGTATCCTCAAATCACCATCGTTGCTGTTCGGTCTGGTTCCCTTTTGCGCGTCTCTTCTCCCAATTTTCCGTCAGCTCTTATGGGTTGGTGGGGGTAACCGGCGCGTGCATAACGATGTGTTCCTTATCCCCTCGCGCAGCTGGCTTCTAGGGCGCCTGTCGGCGCCGGCATCGAGGAAATCGCCCGGCAGCGGGAACGGAAGCCAGCTACATGCAGCAAATCCCGCCACCCTCCTCCTTCTCCTCCTCCTCCTCCTCCTCCTCCTCCTCCTCCTCGTGTCGTCCGACCCGAAAGCGCCCCAGGAGGCTCAGCAAAGGCCCGGAACTCCAACACCTCGAGCCTCGGAGTCCGATCCTCGAGGCTCCCCCATTGCTCCTGGGTGGGGGGGGGGGTCGCTGGGCGGGGGCTCGCTCATTCGGGAGCGGCCAAGAGGGGGGTGTCCAAGAGGGGGGGGTGCAAATCATGACCGGCGGCATGTGCGCGGCCAAGCGGGTGGGCAAGGGACGTAATAAAATAAGAAGAGGCGCCATGAAATCTGAGGAAATATCATGGCCCCCGCCATGATATCCACCCACCCTAGTCATCACCCCCCTCTTTTCCGCCCCCGACTCATGTAGGAACGCGTCGAATTGGAATCGGCGATGCATCGCCATCGCCAATAGCGAGTACGCGCGCTCATGGGCGGGACGGGCTACCGGGGCCCCATCTGCAATGAATGGGCAAAGCACTGCTGGTCGACGCGCACCCCGTGAGCCAAACCCCCCACGCCTTGCCCCTGACTCTGGCGCGCGCTCACATGGATGACGGATATGTGGATCTGGCGCGTGGGCACCAGATCCATGGATCTCGGAGAATGAAGCCAGTGCCGCCCGAATTGGCGACGTAGCGCGCCGATGCTGCACGGAAGAGAGTTCCATCGCTGGTCCACGCACCTTAACCCATCTCTGCGCTGTTTCGATCCCTCCGCCCTCCCATAGGAGGGAGGGCGGACATCGGGGATCTTCTGACCCGGGTCAATGCAGACCCGGGGCAGCAGGAAACCAAAAAACTGCAATGCAGGACAAAAAAACTGCAACGCAGGTCTTCGCAAACCCCGGTCAGCCAATATGCGCGGCCGCCTCGCGGCCACGAGCGGCTCGCGAACCCGGGACAGCCAGAGGGGGTCTTCGCAGGATCCTGCAAGATCTGGCGCTCTGGCTGACCCCCGTTTGCATTGCCCCCCGTCTCAAGGCTTCCGAGGACAGCTGTGCGGTGACGTCCGGCGTCCCTGGCGTGGCTGCCGTCCCTGGTGACGTCCGGCGACCCGGCGGGGCTGCTGCTGGTCCACGCTAGGGTTCGAACGCGGCCTACGGGCCAGAGTTCCGACCGCCTCCCGTAAGCCCTCTCCCACCCCCCTCCCTCCCCGCTTGAGGCCGCCCCCTCCCTTCCCTCCCCGCCTCCCGCCTGGCACCCCTCTCTCACCGCGGGGCCTGGGCGGCAGACTGCTGGTTGCGCGCGTGCGGAGCGAGCTGCCTCACCGGGGGGACGCGCCAGGGCAAGCCCTCCTCTAACCTGCTCTTCTTCTTCGCCTCCTGTTCCTCCTCCTCCTCCTCCTCCTCGTCCTCGTCATCCTCCTCCTCCCCCTCCTCCTCCTCCTCCTCCTCCTCCTCCTCCTTATCCTCTTCCCTCACCACCCACTCCTCCTCCTCCTCCACCTCCACCTCCTCCTCCTCCTCCTCCTCCTCCTCCTCCTCCTCCTCCAACTCCTCCTCCTCCTCCTCCTCCTCCTCCTCCTCCTCCTCCTCCTCCTCCCCCATTCTTTTTCCGTGTGAGTAACTTCTCCCTGTCGCATCCCGGGGCCTATTTTTAGGGCCTTGGGCGTTTCGCCTCAGACCCCCTCACCTCTCATGACCCTGAAGCTTCAACATTGGCAACAGCTTCACAGGTGGAGGGCGGGTCGTTTTCAAAGTGTGGCTCTCGCCTTAGCGCCGCGCACATACGTTTTACACAATTGTACGAGTTTCACGGATTGAGGGCGAGTCGTTTTCAAAAGGTGGCTCTCGCCTGAGCGCCGCGCACATTCGTAAGAATTGTGCGGATTGAGCGCTCCTTTCCAAAATGTGTCTCTCGCCTTAGCGCCGAGCGCATTCGTTAGAACAGTGTGCAAGATCTGCACGGATGTCCATGATCAAAGATAACAGGAATTGTGTTTTGGAAGGAGTCAGGATTATGAGGTTGCAACAGTTTCGTTGATTTGCGGTGTTTAAGTCCCAAGAATTGCGTCCTGGCACGAGTAAGGGTCGTCCAGGCGCAACAGTCAGGTTGATCCGTGGCGTTGGAATCCCGAGCACAATGTTTTGGCGCATGCTTCAGTGTCTTGAAACGGATGCTTTCCAACGAGGCATTTTCCTCAATGGAAATGAACCGTCGTAGGGGCCTAGGAAGAGGGAGCTTGGGGGAGGGTTTTCTTCCATCATCCTTGATGACTCTTGGGTTTACAAGGCCCTCCTCCTATTCCTCCTCCTCCTCCCTCTCGTCGTCCTCTTCCTCGTCCTCGTCCTCCTCCTCCTCCTCCTCCTCCTACCTCCTACCTCTCCTCTTCCTCCTTCTCCTCCTCCTCCTCTTTACCCTTCTGTCGTTATCTTTTCCGCCTCCTCCTCCTCGTCCTCCCTCTCCTCCTCCTCCTCCTCCTCCTCCTCCTCCTCCTCCTACTCCTCCTCCTCCTCCTCGTCCTCGTCCTCGTCCTCGTCCTCGTCCTCCTCCTCCTCCCCCTCCTCCTGCTGCCACTGCCCTGCCCCTGCCCCTCCCGCCCCCCCCCCCCCTCTCCTCCTCCAACTCCTTCTCCTTCTCCTCCTCCTCCTCCTCCTCCACCTCCTCCTCCTCGTCCTCCTCCTGCTTCTCCTCCTCATCCTCCTCCTCCAACTCCTCCTCCTCCTGCTCCTCCATTCCTTTTCCGTGTGAATAACTTCTCCCTGTCGCACCCCGGGGCCTATTTTTAGGGCCTTGGACGTTTCGCCTCAGACCCCCTCACCTCTTATGACCCTGAAGCTTCAACATTGGCAGCAGTTTCACAGGTGGAGGGCGGTTCGTTTTCAAAGTGTGGCTATCGCCTTAGCGCCGCGCACATACGTTTTGCACAATTGTACGGGTTTCACGGATTGAAGGCGCGTCGTGTTCTAAATGTGGCTCTCGCCTTAGCACCGCGCAAATTCGCTTATAATGTTTGAAAGAGGTGTACGGATTCCCATGACCAACATACCAGAAACTGTGCTTGGGGGTGCAGCAGCTACGTTGATTCGCGGTGTTGAAGTCCCAAGTTTGACGTCCTGGCACGATTCAGGATCGTCACGATGCAACAGTCCAGTTGATCCATGGCGTTGGAATCCCGAGAAAAATGTTTTGGCATGCTTCAGGACCTTCGAACGGTTATCTCCCAACGAGGCAGTTTCCTCAATGGAAATGAACTGTCGCAGGGGCCTATAAAAAGGGAGCTTGAAGGGAGGGTTTGTTCCAACATCCTTGATGACTCTTGGATTTAGACTACTCCTCCTCCTCCTCCTGCTCATCCTGCTCCTGCTCCTGCTGCTGCTGCTGCTGCTCCTCCTCCTGCTTCTGCTCCTCCTGTTCCTCCTCCTTTTCCTCCTCCTCATCCTCCTCCCCCTCTTTCTGATCCTCTTTCCCGTCCTATCCCTACTCCTGCTGAAGCCCCTGTCGCCACTAGGCCTCATGAGAAAAAACATATCCACAATTTCGCGGAGGTCCATGCGGAATTCTGGGCTCTGCGCTGCACCCCGCTTCCCGGCGCGCTGGAGGCGCCGTCCAATGACCCCAGTGCCGACCGGATAAACCCGCGCGGAACTCCAGGAAATCGTGCCTGTGCTGGCTTTTGTTTCGGGGAGACGGAAGACTCGGGTTCGGGGGACTCCGTTTGGCCCGACGGGGACATCACGAAAATGACAAGACCCTGTCTGAAATTTGTCGCAACCTCCCGCTGCAAACATCCCACGAACACCGGACCATCAAAATCCAGGGCGCGCTCGTCAAAACGCGTCGGCACACCCGAGTTCCAGCGTAATCGATCGGAAGCCGGGCAAGGGCTGCTAAATCCGTGGCTGCTAAAATCGACCTCCGGGAAGTTGTCTTCGTCCTTCTGGGAAGAAGCCCGCTGACTGTTTCGCGTGCCGCGCCTCACCCGGGAAGTTGTTTTTTCCTGCCGGGAGGGCCGTTTTAGCGGCCACGGTTTTAGCAGCCCTCGCCCAGCTTTCGAATCGAGTCGTACGGTCCCCCATTCGAAGAGCGGCCCGAAAGAGTGTCGAAACAGTGTCGAAAGAGTGTCTCCCAGGGCCCGACACGTGAAAACCCTTGAGTTTGGTGGTATTTTTCTGGCGCTCGACCTTCTTTCTGGTGATCAAGGCCAAAGTGGGTAGGAACATCACAACCCATGCAGTTCTTTTTCGAAGAACGGCCCCGGTCCCCAAACATCCGCGCGGCCGCCCCGCATCCCCGCGCACTCCCCCGACGCGCCCCCGCGCGCGAGGGGCCCCCCCGCGCGCACGTCCTGGGGGGGAGCACCCGGGGGGGGCGCCCGCGCGGGCGCGGCCCTGGGGGCGGGCCCATCGCAGGCCCAGGAGTTCTGTTGTTCCCATCCGACTCAAAAGGGCCGCATCCCAAAGAGAAGTTCGAGCACCGGGGCAAAGTGTCGAAAGAGTGGCCAAACAATGTGGAAACAGTGTCGGGCGAGTGTTCCCCAGGGCCCCACACGTGAAAACCCATGAGTTTCGGCTTTTTGGCGCTCGAAATTCTTTCTGGCGGTCAAGGCTGAAGTAAGTCAGAACATCATAACGCAAGCCCAGAAGGAGGATCGAGGCCTCCAGAACGTGTTCCGAGTGGACTCGAGGAGCAAGCAGTGACATGAACAGAGACTTTCGGAGCTCCGCGCGTTCCACGATCGATGGGATGGGGGCCGCAGGGTCGCGCTGCAGCGCCGACGCATCGGCGGTGCGGCGAGGTGCGGAGGCCGATTCTCCCCACGCCGACGTCGCCGATGACTCGCTGGGAGCCGCACCCATTGCCGACGTCGCCGATGCAGCGCTGCACTGCTCCAACTCGTCCGGGCGACCCTGACCCGACTTGCGGGCCGACCAAGCCCGACAAGCGCCCTGGCCCGAGCCCCGCCGAGGCGCGCCTCGCCGCGGGCGGCCTCGATCGGCCAGCCGCCGCTCGCACAGCCGGGCGCTCCGCAGTGAGCGCACCCCGCCTGGCCAGAGGCTCCGCGCGCCCAGATCCGACGTCGCGCGGCCCAGCCTTGCCAAGAAGGAGCTCGCCAGACTGCCCAAATCTCCGACGACATGATGTGTTGGATCCTGGCGTTTCTCATCGATTTCGTCTCCGGGGGTTTAGTCGGGCCTGTCCCCCTGCAGGGGGATTTCCGACGAAAAAATGCACAAGAAACAGAGATAATCAAACAATAGTCCAAACATAGTCTGGGGACTATGTTTTTAGATTGTTTGACTTGTTTGGAATATTCTTGGGGTATTTTTTATTTTTCGTCGAAAACTCCCCTGTAGGGGGGACACGCCCGACTGAATCCTGGGGGGACGTCAAACATGGATCTGAGAGAAAAACTACCCCGTGAGAAGGGTCGGGACCTTTAGGCCGCGGATTGAACAAAGCCAGATCGGGGGATGCCTGGGTCTACAAGACTGACCTCGCTAGGCTTAACTTACAAGGAACATCTCCGACACGAGCACGGACTTTCGAAATTCCGCGCGGAATTCTTGGAAAGGGCGCCTCCCTGGCACATCAAGAGGCCGGGTGCTGATCGTCAGGGCAACTACCACGGGTTCCTTCGCCTCGCGCGCTGTGCGGCGACTTCTAGGGGGCGCCGGGCAAGCGCTGCGATTGGAGGGTTCTGGGTTTCCGCGCTGCTGCACCCGGCGCTCAGACTGTCAGGGCTGAGCATCCAGAGGCCTTCCACATGGGGTCCGAGCCCATGGGGTCGGAGGATCGCGCTACGTTGCCGATGCATCGCTGATGCATCGGCGATGCATCTGCCACGTCGACGACGCATCGGCGACGTGGGCGTGGAGAGAATCGGCCTCCACACCGCGCCTCAGTCACCGATGCATCGGCGACGCGGCGCGATCCCCAAGACCACCTTCTCGGAACCCCTCTGGACGACCTCGAGAATCTTGCCGGTGTCCCTTCGGCGACTCCCAAGGGTGTGGTTTGCAAAGGGTGCGGCTTGCAACCAGCCCCCCGGGGGGCGGGCGAGGACCTCGACGCCGCGCCCTGGGGGGGCCCGACGAGGACAATCTTATGCCCCCCTGGCCCCAACGGTGCCGATCTCAAACTACATAAAACAGGGCTGAGATCGGGATAAATCGCTCCAGAGCGTTCCGGAGCGCTCTCAGAGCGTTCCGGAACGCTCTGGAGCGGCCGCGGCGCCCAATACATCCTCCAAACCCGCCGATTCTCAGAAAATTTCGAGTTATCCCGACCCGATGTTGTCCCGATCTTCGCGTCGTTTTACCTGGCCCCAACGGTGCCGAACTCAAAGCACACCCCGGCGTAAGTGCACCCTTTGTAGCTGCCGATGCCTCGCGGCCGCGCCCGCGCTGCACACTGCTGCGCTGGCTGCGCCGCCAGCGGGGGGCCGAGCCCGCACGGGAAGAGCCCAGACGGAGACCCAGCACGCAGCCTCCGATCAAGAGAGGCGAACTCCGGGCGGCACGAGCCCAAACGGGGACCGGACACTCCACACGGATAGATTCCGTATGGCAGTGGCGTCCGCCGACACTGGCGGAACGCGCAGGTGCCGCGCTGGACCGCCTGGGTGCAACTCCCCGCGGCGGCGTGGCCCCTCGAGGGAGGAGCCCCGGCTCCCGCTCTCCGCTGCCGGTCATCTGCCTCTCCTGCCCCCGCTCGGGTGGGAGGGCTTTTGGCCTCAACCGGCACCACCACGTGAATGACCGCACACGCCATCTGTGGGAGAATGGCGGGTGACAGCTCCCGCAAGTTCCGCCTGCAGGAGTGCGGCCCAGGGAACGTGCCTCCAGCGCGGACAGACGTCGGGGGAGGGGAGGTAACGGGGCGAGGGGGGGGAGCGGAGGAGATGGACGGGGGGAGCGGGGAGGAGGGGAGTGGCGGACGGAGGGGATGGAGGGAGGGGGATGCGAGAGGAAGGGGCAACCCAAGTGCGTTCGCGCGACATCTGACTTCCTATCCCTTCCTCCCATCTCTTCCGACTGCGCCGGTTTGTCTCTATCCGCGGACGCGTGTCATAGCCGACTTGCAACTCAACGTAGGAAGGCCCCATCGTAGTATGCGCAATCGGACAGTACGTACGTACACATGGCATGGGAGGAAGAAGAGAAAGGGGAGGAGGAGGAGGAGGAGGAGGAGGAGGAGGAGGAGGAGAGGAGCAGAAAGAGGAATATGGGGAGGAGGAGGGGAGGAGGAGGAGCAGGAGGAGGATGAGGATGAGGATGAGGAGGAGGACGGAGGAGGAGGAGAAGGAGGAGGAGGAGGAGGGAGAAGGAGGAGCAGCAGGGAGAGGAGGAGGAGGAGGAGGACGAGGAGGAGGATGAGGAGGATGAGGAGGAGGGGGGAGGAGGAGGAGGAGGAGGAGGAGGAGGAGGAGGAGGAGGAGGAGGAGGAGAGGACGAGGAGCAGGAGGAGGAGGAGGAGCAGGGAGGAGGAGGAGGAGGAGGAGGAGAGGAGGAGGAAGAGGAGGACGAGGAGCAGGAGGAGGGAGGAGGGAGGAGGGAGGAGGGAGGAGGAGGAGGAGGAGGATCAATAATTGGTCGCTTTGGGCGCCGTGTAGCACGCGCTTGGCGGAGCGTTGCGCTCGGCCAAGCATCCTAGCTGACAAAGCCCCCTCCATGGTCTTCCGTCCTCAGTTCCTCTGGCTCCCTCAATTAAGGGAGGACGAGGAGAAACAAGGAGTAGGAGGGAGGAGATGGAGGAGGAGTTGGAGGAGGAGGCGGAGGAGGAAGAAAAGGAGGAGGAGGAGCAGGGGAGGAGGAGCAGGAGGATGATGAGGAGGAGGCGGAGGAGGGGAGGAGGAGGAGACGGAGGAGGAGGAGGAGGAGGAGGAGGATGACGAGGAGGAGGAGAAGGTGGCGGATGAATTGGAGGATGATGAGCAGGATGCAAAGGAGGATATGAAAGTAAGAGGACGAGGACGCACAACAGCAGCAGGAACTGGAGTGGAACGAACAAGGGACAGGATGAGCAGGAAGACCAGGGGAGGGCGGAGGAGCGAAAATAAGGGGGCGACACAGAGGAAAAACATCTCGGATCCCGATGAATTGCCCGCGCCGGGGTGACAGCTGCATTCTTCATGACAGGAGCAACGATGCGAACGTAGGACCCACGCTGCAGCGGGGGGATCGCAATTTTGAAACACCTTGCACCATCGGATTGTAAAAGCCAATATGATCTACCGCGCACCATCTGATGGTAAAAACTGTCGAAACCATACGCGGAAAAAGCGGGCCATATTCTGGACGGGATCGGGAAAGAGGGGGGTAATACTCAGCATGTGTAGTTGTGGAGCGGACGGAGGGAATTGCATGCCAGGGGGGGGGGGGGGGGGGGGGGGGGGCGGGGAGGGGGGGGGGCAAAGGGCGAGGGGGCGAATGGAGGAGAGGAATGGGGGGAATCCGTTCTAGGCCTGAACTCGGGGGTGCTGGACAGGGCGGGCACGGCGTCCACGCACTTCAGCAGGTCGCGCCGGATGGTCAGAGCCACCTCTCGGGCGCGGGCCAGGTGGGACAACGGCGGCTGTCCCGCCCAGCCCATGTCCACTCAAAATCAACCCCATGACCCCTCCCAGGGCCCATGCTGGCCCAGTTGAGACCCCAAAAACAAAAAAAAAAAATTCAAGACGGCCACAAACACCCCAATCATGGCCAAAACTCCCCAAGACGGCCCTACTGGCCCGCCGGGAGGCCCCGCGAGGGGCCCAATCAAGGAAATCGAACTGGCTTGCGGAGCTTCTCCCTGGTAGATAGCCCAAAAACGTCGAAAATATCCGGCTCGTCGGTCGTCCATCCTATGAAACGGTAAGTATGGATGATGTACGCACTGCACACAGGCAAGTAAGACGCGCGTGCTTTCGGCGCCTGATGGTTATCTTAAAGTCGAGAGGAGAGGCAACAGCGATTGGCAAGCGTCTCCAACAGAAATCTATTGAGTAACGGTCGCAGTGGCAGCGCCTGAGAAGAAAGGCGCCAGGCTTTTTGGCCCGGCGCGCCAGGATCAAAATGATGCGCGCGCCCTCGGCAAGCACACGAAGAAAATAACTACATCACAGTAAACGACGCGCCGAGTCCAGTCGCAAAGGTAGGAGGAACCCCATGATGATGGAGCACAGCGCTCCTCCCAGCCAACAGCGGGACAAACGTCACCCTTGCATTGCCTCTTCCCCGTGCAAAGAGAAACACATGCAGCGGCAATCAGAATGACGCGCGCGCTCGACAAACAGAAGCAAAGCTTTCCATCGCGCGCGACGATGCGATGACAATTAGATGCCAAATGTATAGGAGCGCAAGTTCATCTCGCGGCAATCAACAAAACACGATCACCGCCACCCCTTCCGAGGCTGCCAGGGCGCCGCGCGCGCAAAATGTCGCCTCATTGCAGGGCAGCCGCCAGCCGTCTCGGCCTCATTTTGAAACTTGCGACCGCTTAACATTACCTCCAACAACAGGCCCCTGCCAATGCTAACAATACCAAGTCCGTCGGAAATCACACCGCGCGCCCCGCGCCACTGCGCGCTTTGCAACATCTACCCCCCATCATTTCTCGCGCCCACCTAACGCGTCCTAGAATGCGCGCTCGGTCGGAAAATGAAAATCTTTGCTCGACAAAGATTTGCCTGCTGATTCCGCGTCGATGTTTGGCGTTGCCTCGATGGGTGCCCCGCCACATTCTCGGATGGCACGAAAGGCGCCGGACGACACATTCCGCGCGCAAATACTGAGGTCGGGCAGCATTCGCCCAAAACGCGAATGCTTCAACCGCAAGACTCGATCGAACTCGTGGCCGATGAGATCAGCAAAGACCTTCCACAAAGTGAAGAGCGGACCCCTGTTCGGGCGGGATGCCCCGCCTCATGCGCCCGGCACCTCGCGCGCCATGCCTTCCCATCGACTTCTCCGTCGCCGATGAATCAGCGGCGGCCCGAATCGCTGCGCGCGCCCGCGCCCCGCGAAGGGGTCGCCCAGCAGTTATCAGTTCCTTCGTCGCAGCGTTGGGCCTCGCAGCGCGGACGTTCGCGGGCCCGCGCGCCCGCCGCGGGGGCGCGACGCGATCCATTGGCCGAGTGCGCGGGGGGCGCGCATGCAAGGACATGTCGCAAGATGGCGAGCAGGCCTGCCTTCCACTATCATAGTAGTCTCGTCGCCAGGCTTGGCTCTGGCAAGTCCGGCGCGGGCGCTGGGCCGCAGGTGTTTGACTTGCTCGTATCCAGCATTGCGTCTCCATCCTTCGTCTTGGTGAACCTCGCTGCGAATGTGGCTCGCGCGCGACAATTCGAACTGTGCGCTGGAATGACCATTTGCGCACATATGACACAATCGCCCATGCGTTCTCCAAGCTGGCCGCGTCGACGTCGCCAACGCGTTCAGGTGTCCGAAGCTCGTTTGAGATTTCAAACTGCCTGTCGGAATTCGCGGGCTGAAGACCGACGTCGCGAGACTCGCCACGCGGCTGGTCCAAGGCAGATACGGCGCCACGAACGGCGCCCAAAATGCGCCCCAGGCGGCGCCCCAAACTTCATGAGTTTTGTTCGCGTGCCGCGTGTTTCGCGATTGTCTCCCCGATTTGCCCGATGCCCTCGTGGCCCCTCCCCTTGTTTGCCCGATGCCTTCCTGGCCCTCTATTCCTGTTCGCCCAATGCCCTCGAGGCCCCTCTCAGGGCCCTCGGGCCCCATCTTTGCGACGCGAAGCCGTTCCGACGCGGCGCCACAGCGACGCGCCGCAGCGCTGCGCCGACGCGGGACTCTTGCAGCCCAAAGTCCGGACGCCTGGACACGCGCCCGGATCGGGTCCCTGCGCGCTCGAAGCGTGGTGGCCGTGGGTCGGTGGTTGCTGCTGTGGCTTGAGTGATCGTATCATTGTTTGTTTCTCGTATGTGTTTGTGCATAGTCTCTGTTTTGTTGTTGTTGCAAGCTGTTGGATCTTTATATATATATATATACATATCTCTTTCTCTCTCTCTCTCTCTTTCTCGGCCAAACATTTCTCCAGGTTCGAAATCTGCCGCGCTCAAGTCGGGAAACATCTGGGGTTGTCGTCCACTGAAGGCTTGCAATGGTGACGCTCCAACGTGAAAAAAGGTCACACAAATCAACTTATCCCGGCGACAGACCCGACCATGCGCATTTGTGAATACCAAATTGTGGGTACCGTTTTCGGTGGAGCTCCCTATGGGGCTACGAGCCGTGTGAAGGGCGTACTGAATTGGGGCGGCAAAACCATGCGGACCCTGCCGCTGGGGCCTTCGGTGGAACTCCCAATGGGGCCACGAACCGTGTGAAGGGTGTGCCGACATGGGGCGGCGGTGCCATGCGGATCCTGCCACTGGGGCCTTCGGTGGAGCTCCCTATGGGACCGCGAGACGTGTGAGGGTTGCGCCGACATGGGGCGGCGGTGCCATGCGGACCCTGCCACTGGGGCCTTCGGTAGAACTCCCTATGCGGCCAACGAATTGTATGAAGGGTGTGCCGACATGGGGCGGCGGTGCCATGCGGACCCTGCCACTGGGGCCTTCAGCGAAGCTCCCTGTGAGGCCACGAACCGAGTGAGGGGTGCGCCGGAATATGGCGGCGGTGCCATGCGGACCCTGCCACCGGGGCCTTCGGTGGGATTCCCTATGGGGCCACGGACCGTGTGAAAGGTGTGCCGAAATGGGGCGGCGGTGCCATGCAAACCCTGCCGGTGGGGCCCTCGGTGGAGCTCCCTATGGGGCCACGAACAGTTGAAAAATGTGTTGAAATGTTGCGGGAGTGCCATGCGGACCCTGCCGCTGGGGCCTTCGGTGGGGTCCCCTATGGGCTAGGAGCCGTGTGAGGGGTGTGCCGAAATGGGGCGGCGGTGCCATGCGGACCCTGCCACTTGGGCCTTCGGTAGAGTTCCCTATGGGGCCACGGACCGTGTGAGGGGTGCGTGTGTGTGTGTGCCGAAAAAGGGATGATGATAACGATGACGATGATGACGACGATGACGATGACTATGATGATGCCAATGATGATGATGATGATGATGATGATGATGATGATGATGATGATGATGATGATGATGGTGATGGTGATGGTGATGATGATGATGATGTTGATGATGATGACGATGATGATGATGATGCCGACGACGACGATGATTGGGGGAGGGAAGGGGAGAGGGAGGGGAAGGGGGAGGAGGAGAGGAGATGAGGAGACGCGGGGTGCTCGCATTCGCAATCGCAATGCAACGCAACGTCGTTAACCAGTGCACCTTTTTCGTCTGAGCATAAAACTGTTGCACGGCCACATGTGGCGACCCAATTTTGCTGGTTCGCCGTAGAAGCAGTTTCCCGCACTTTATCGGAAATCTGCTGGCTGGTACAAAACCGTACGCACCGATCTATAATCCGCCGCTCCGGCGTGTGAATTTGAGAATGTTACAGCCTGAGCTCCCACTCTGCTGACGGGGTTGCCCGGGTGGCGCCAAAGGATAGGTGAAATCTCATGCAGGTAGTCATTCAACTGCCCGCTTTGGTTTCCCAGGTCACTCAAGCCGTGGTGCTGGCGTTGTTGCCAGCTATGTTCATCCACGTGGGGGGTCTCCCTGAAAGCATGGCACCTCCGCCCCGTCCACGTTCCAGCTCCAGCGCCGCCAGTCTCCGGGCCAGGGCCCAGGCCTCGCCCCGCAGATCCTCGCGGCCGCCACCTTTCGGGCGAGGCCGCCCTTCCTCAGCGCGGCCGCGGTCTCGACGTGGCGGCGGGGGCCGGGCGTCTCGGGAATGCGGCGGAAGGGCCTTGGAACACAGACGGTCGCTCGATGCTGGAGCAGCTTCAGGGGGACCTGGCACATGTCCGTCTCGCGAAAGGAAGTGCTTGGAGCATTGGTTTGGCTCGCTGTCCTGATGGAGGCGCCGGCGTCGGATGCTTCGGTGGCGCCCGCTGTGCTGGCGCCTCCTTCTCGCCGGGGCAATGACCCGTGCCTCCGCGTGGCGGAGTGCCCCCTGGCCATGGGCCATGGCCACTGGCCGCGTGGGCCCCTCACCTCGCGGGGCGTCGTCGGCGCCCGGCCGGATGCCAGTGGCCTTGGAAAATCGCGCCAAGTACTTCCTTGTGGGGCGCGCGCTTCGGCTTAGCATTCTCAGCTATTAATAGAGAGTCTCGGTCGATGCGCGACTGAAATTCACCCACCAAAGTGAACATATGTTGCGTCCGCGGCCCCCGACTGACAGGGCGCTCCCTCTGTCAGAATGTTTCCTGCGCGCTGGACGCGCCGGCGCTTGCCCTCTGACTCTCTTGAAGAATAGCCGTCGATCGCGTTCTGGGCTCATCGGACTTCGCGCGCCCGTCGGTCGGCCCTCAATCGCGCGGTCCGTCGCGTGAGAAACGCCGGGGCCATGTCGCTCATCCAGAAAGGGTGCAAAAGTGATCTGCTCCAGGTCCTCCCCACCCCCCGTGGACGCGACGGACTGCTGCTGGGCCTGGGGCCCAGGTCCACGCGCGAGCCACTCATGTCCTTGAAGACCGCCT